CCTTTGCTGGTCCTCAACAAGTTGGACCGGCTAGCAGCTCTCTACCCGGATCCAGAAGATGCTTTCCAGGTAGATCTTCGGGTTGAGAATATAGGAGTTGCGAACCATTGTTTGGAAATATACCGTATCTTTGCTGAGAGAAGTATGCATGACACTCTCGGGGGGAGACCTAACCGCATCGGAAAACCGATCGGAGCTGCGGGGAATTCGAGCTTCGGATATACTTGCCTCGCTTACCTGCTTGCGGTGGTGTTGAAAAAATCGCTCACCATTGGGGCTTAGGTATGCCCTCGTTTTATTCCATCTTTCTTGCGATGAGCACCTTCGTCCCCTCGTCTTCTTGAGAGACATTTGGTGACAGTCTCAGAGCGGAGGTTGGACCGAATCGGAGAACCAACCGGAGCTGGGTGAAATTCGAGCTTGGGAGATACTTGCCTTGCCTCCATCCCTATAGAGTGGAAAATGTTACCCTGGTCTGGCCTCGTTTCATCTCGCTCGTCCTGATCAGCGTATCCGCAGTATAATAGAAGACGTGAATATGCACTTCCTCAATCTGGTGGAGTCGGATAAGGAGGCTAAAGGACTGGATGAGATAGACGCACAGGATGAAGCTATGTACGGCAGTTTCGATCCGACTAATAATAATGTGATATCAGAGGTCTCGGGTTCGATCCGCGGCGAGGACACTTTTCTGCAGGTTTTGTTTGCATCAGCTTTACACGGTTGGGCATTCGATCTTCGAACTTGGGCTGATAAATTGTTACTTCCGAAACTGAAGAGCTCTAAAATGATCTCCCCGGAGAGCACCGCTGACGATGTTGTGAAGTTCCTCTGGGGAGACTATTGCCTGAAGAAGAAAGGATTCGAGGCAATCGAGGGTGGAGTGACGGGGACTCGAACCTTCGTCAAGTTGGTATTGGAAAATATATGGAAGTTGTACGAGCAGGATGTTAACACAGGTGCGAAAATCGAACTCGGGGTCTTTGGGATGGATGCAGGGGAGTCTAACGTGTTGGACTATCATTATGTTGTTAGGTCGCGAGAAGTTGTCTAGCCAGTTCTCTTTGAGTCAACAGATCTTCAGATCATGTATTGATAAACTGCCGAACCCAGTAGAATCAGCACAGAGGAGGATGGAGACCCTGGCGCCGGGCCTCTGGGCTGAGGGTAATACATCATCTACCGTGCCAGCAGACTCATCTGATCGTCGGAATCTTGAGTCGTACGAAATTGTACTACACATCATCCACACACTTCAACAAAAATAGAATGGAGGTATCCTATCGTGAACCAAAGCCTTCGCTAGCATGAGAACACAAAGGCGCGGATGCGTGCAGCTTTTGCTGGGGTATATCGAGGGCATCTTCGCAGGGAATGAAGCCAGCCTGGCCTGTGTATACCGTGCATTCAGGTGGAGGTGGACTGTCCGCAGAGGAGGTTAAACTTTATCAAGATTCCCTAACCACAAGTCCCCGAGGAGAAGAAGCGCCGACAGTCGCCTTCGTGTCGAAGTTCCAGGCAGCTGATTTGAATTTGGGCTGCCTTATTGGGGATAAAGTGGGCATTCACATCTCATGAAAAATGCGGTTCATGAAACGCTTCGCTCCGCTAGGTGGATGCTTTCCGAGAGCTCAATGGTTTTGTGGCGATGACACGAGTATTTTCTGGTGAAGTACAACTGGGCCAACAGCTGTATGTTCTGCGGGACGCAACGGGTGAAGGACAGAAGCAGGCAGAGGAGGATGAGTCAGGTAAGAGTCGCGCGCGCCCTGCCGATCGATTTGTAATGATTCTGTTGTAGATGTTGCCGAGGGCGTAACCGTGACTGTGAATGGCATATATGCGGTGCTAGCCAGCTCGTTGGTGCCAACTAAGCAGGCGAAGGCAGGATGCATAGTGGGGTTGGTACTGCAGGGCTCAGATGAGGGTAATACAGAAGGGAAGGGTATCTTTGCGCACAGCGAAGATTTCTCTTGTTGTCATCATCAGTTGTTGACCCCAGCAGTCCAGACGCCTTTGAGGCTGCCAATCGATCGGCGTGTAGTGGCGTGACACTGTCTAGCTCGAGGGATATGCCGCCGTTTGTTAGCCCGTTCGAGGGACAGCAGAGCATTGTAATAATGGGTGTTGATGGCATGGGTGAAGACCTACAGAACTGGTGGAAGAATGGTAGTCGCTAATTTTCTACATTTTTAGCTGATTTCGATCCATGATGACGAACAGGGGGTGGTCCGTGTAGGGCAAGAGACAGTCCATCGGGCTGAGCTCATCAGCTTGGGATGGATACTTCGTGTAGTCATCTGGCGTGACTTGTGCGATAATTGAGGCGGTACAACTCAGAATGATTCCGTCCGGTTAAACGCCGGCCTGGGGATTATGGAGACGTGCTTCACGGATCGGTCGCTGGTGCTCAGGTTCGGGTATCAGTATCACCGGTGCGGTTGGAAGATACAGATACGTTAACCCTAGGCTTGATACGCCTGAAGCAGGCTGATCCAGCAGCTAATGTAGCGAGGAACCCGGACACAGGAGAACTGCTCATTGGATGCTGTGGGGATGAGCACTTGCATCGTTGTGTGAGTCGGGTTGGTTTGGCGAAGGTCCCGAGTTCGATTCTCTAGCGGTCATTTTCTGATTTTTTTGTCTCCGTTATGGAGGTTCGATTCAGTTTTTTTTTCTGAAATTCTCTGCTCGAGTAAACTGGGTTACGCATCTATAAATTGTATTTTCAGATTCAAGACCTTCGTCAACTGTATGCCATCGGTGCGGACTGCCGCGTATCGGAGCCCATGGTGGAGTTGAGGGAGACGGTGGCGATCGACCCGCCGATAGATTGGCGTGACTTTACTGCAGACAGCAGAGAAGATATACTGGGAGGCCGAGCGGGCATCAGTTGGTTGAGCGAGTAAGGTTCACTCTGGTATCTCATCCAACCGAAAGATACGCTAGACCCTGCGATACGATCTTCGTTGCGGGATGATGGGATTGAATCTGTGTTGTTTTCAGGTACTCCAATGTGTTGAAGTCTGATGGTAAAGGAGAGACATCCTTCCCTCTGTCCGATGGCGTAACATGTACGGTAGCGGCTACTGCTGCTGCAATGCCGGAAGACCTACTCAAGTGGCTGGATGACCACTCCCAACAGGTCCGTGGGGAGGGGGCCTAGCCATCCTTGGCGCATGCAAGTATCGGGTAGTGATGACTATTAGAGTGACGTCATGTTTGGCGACCGTTGACTGCTGGATTCAGCCAATGGCGATGCAGCACGTTCGAAAAACTTGTCCGAGGACAACTTCATCGGATTGAAACATGCCAAATCAGGTCCAAGCTGCCTTTGCACTCGGGAGGGCGGCCGATCTCGACAGGCTCGAAGCATCGGTAAGACTGCTCATGCCAAGTGATAAGCGTCAAAGGACAATCCTTGCGGGAATTAATGTAATATATATGTCAGATGCAGGGTGGTGGGATCGAACCTGGGTCTTGATCGTCAGGTCCACAAGGCGGCATGCAATGGCCTCTTGATACGAGTTGGGGATACTTCCCCAGTGTTGGTCGATAATAATGTCGGCACCCTGCAGTCGTGCTACTGTGGCGGGTTCAGCCGTAGGAGGTCCAGTAGAGTTGCAGAGGAGGACCGTCATCATCAGCACGACACTAGCATCGATTCTGGTGGGAATTGGGACGAGGTTTCGGGGAGGGCGTTCCACTCTGCGGCGTGACCGGGGCGATTAGCCAGCCCGATCGCTAGGACTAGATGGGATGGGAAGTCGGTTGTGTTGGAAATCTCCCGATTGGATAAGTTCGGTCGTGTGGCGTATGAGAGCGGCTCGGTTCATCACCCTGATCATGGTGTTGTAGGTTCCCTATCAGCCGCCATTAGATTTGCCTTCGAGAAGGTGTGCATGGCAGGGCCGCTCTGTCGAGAACCTGTGAGAGGAGTGGTATGGCAACTCGGCATCCGACTGAAGGATGCCAACGGCGAAGGTAGGAGGGTCGTGTCCACAGCTCGTGGGAATCTTGTCTGTGCGTGTCAGATGTATCATCGTTGTCCTACTTGGGTACTCACACTTGGACACTGAGCTCGGCCATTGTAGAGGCCTGTCGAGGTGCGCCTTCCCTCTGCTACTGCGACTCATCATCCACCCTCCTCAGGCGCCATGCTCTCCCCGGGTTTAGTACGAGTCAGTGAGCCAATGCTCGAGGTTGAACTGCAGTGTGAGCACGTGAAAGCTGTGACGGCCCTACTCGAACACAGGAGAGCTGATATAGTAATCGAGGAGGCTCCTCGAGGAGCGCTAGCCTGCTTACTCACTCTTGTTTTCTTCAGACATATTCGGATCTCGCAGAGGGTTCGTATACTGAGCATCAAATCATTGCCTACATGCCCGCAGCCGAAGCGTTTGGGTTCTCTTCTATTAGTAGGTGATGTGGCGCCTGGTGTTGTTGGGAGTTCCTTCGTGTCAGGCCATAAGTCCTTCGCTGATGAGCTCCGAGGAGCGGCGAAAGGGAAAGTGCTTTGGAGACTCTCGTTCAGCCACTGGAGAGTTCTTCGAGGAGGCAAGGTGAGGTTTTTTTGTCGTTGCACTCTGCGGCTTAGCTCAAGCTTTATTTCAGATTGACGACTATGACCAATGCCCTCTGTATGAGCTGTGCATGACTCGAGAACGGCTCGAAGACTACGGCTCCAATGTTGACTCGACTGCTGCCTTGGACATTGGTAAGAGTGCCGGATGGCTCATGCGGGCTACCCATGCGTACATTCAGGAAACACTGCCCGCCGGTTGGTGATGCAAATCAGGAGAAGTAAAGGATTGCCTTGTGGTGAGAAGCTTGTCGTTGATGCCGAAAAGCAACGTAACCTTACCAAAATGAAGTGATTGTCTCCGCACGATGAGGTTGTGTTAAGAGAGTCGAAGAATTACGTACACTTCCGAACACGTTCGATAGGTGAGAGGTTGAGAACAACACTGTACGTACAGCGAATCAGTCGAGACTGTAAGTACCCGGATGGCGGGATCGAACCGCCGACCTTCAGTTTACAAGACTAACGCTCTACCACTAAGCTAAACCGGCTTGGTATGAGTTGGTCGAGGAACCTGTTGGCTTATTTTAACTTGCAAGTATTGCGCTGCGATTCTTAGGCTACTTGACCTGATTTCGGCGAAAGCAACGAGACCTCTCTCGTTTGAGAAAGCTTGCGAGTATTGTAGGTGGCTCCAAGGAGTAAAAATACCTGTGAAGCCAGGGTGGTCGCGTGCAGAAGCACCAAAGGGGGCGCACAATGCTGAGGTACCCTCTGTCTATTATACGATGAACTCCGTTATCCGTGATGATTCTTTAGAAACAGCGTCGCAGCCTTTCACGAGGTGGGACCCCGCGACCTGCTGACTGTTGTGCTAGAATGTGGTTCATATCAATCATCCAACCGTGTATGAGATCACCGCTGTGCTAACAAGTTATCCCGGAATAAACAATTATTCGACGCGCGACTACTGTGTGACTTTTAAGAACGCGACTACTACCAGCCGACCTCTGAAATCTCCACCTCTAACGAGTTACCGCCTTCTACAATGAGAGGAGACGGACGACGCATCTGTGAACTTTGATGAGGAGTGCCTTCCTACTGCGCGCGGTAATGAAAATGAAGGCTTTTTCGAACTTTACCAAACGGTCTGTTAGAGACCGAATGATACAACCTGGGTTCTAGGCAAATAGAAAAGCGTACGAAGTATAATGAAGATGAGAGAAAATGAATCGGTCATGATCAACCACTTTCCTACCAGCTCATCCTCGGATGAAAATAACGGCCTCACAACGACTGGAGAAAAAATGTCGATTGACAGAGCAGAGAGTAATAACGTGTCTCTTCCTCCTACTTGGACAACACCATGGGCGACTGTGAGCCCAACTCGGGGTATAGAAGCATGACATTCCGAGATTCGTCGTAGAAAACATTCACTCTAGCCTTGAAGTACGACCATGCGTTGTACAGCCAGGGGCTTACGAAGCTCATAGGCTGTAAGCCTCGAGCATCTTTGGGGCCCAAGCTGGCTTGGGTGTTACCAGTGTAAAAGTGGCTGTGCTCGGTGTAGTAACCACCGAGCTCAAGCTGTCCAGGATTCCCTTCGAGGAAGTTCGCAAAGACCCGGGCATATTCCCCTCGTGACATATCTAGGTGCTCATAATGACCAACCGCTGGCTTCAGAGCTCTCCTGTAAGGAGATGGTGTAAAATCACTGCAGTCGGTCCCGTCGGGAAGTCGATAACAGGTCTCTTTCGTGAGCTTAATGCGGAAGCCGTCCCAAGGGAGTACATAGACTGCTTCAGTTCCATTGGGCCACTGCGGCAGTGGAGCCCGCACCTTGAGGTCGAATCGAGTCTCGACGAAGGGGTACACCGACGGGCTTGGCACGCTACCATCTCTCTTTAGAATAATCCGACCATCTTGGGTAACTTCCACACCGTTGTAATGTAGGTCGATATTAAGGTGGGCCGCAGAATTGTAGCCAAGTGAAGCTTTAGTCGGAGAAGAGTAGTCAAACACAAAACAGGCATGAGTCCTCTCCCATTTGTTTGGGTAGGGGATCTGCCGGAGACCGCAGTACTTGCCCGGGGTAAGGCCCTCACGAGCATTCGCGATGAAAGTGGATGCGGCAAGGACTACTGCAACGATTCCGGGAAACATTTAGTAACGACGAAACACCACTGAAAGGGAGACTACTCGCATAAAGAAGTACAGCCGAAGGTCAGCGAGAGGCTGGAACAGCGATCGCTTAGCTTTAGCATGAAGATAGCTGCGAAATCGATCATCCACCACGCACACCATGAGACAGATGGTTGCCCCCTTTTTACGGGGGTGGCCTGTGGTGTCCAGCCTAGCTCAATCCTGAATCATTCCACAAAGGACTATTCAATAGACCGGCTAAAGCCGGTTCGCCACATCAGCTGTGCCACCGTTGTGGTTATATCGTATCATGCTTCTCTTGAGGCTGACGTGACCTGGGGTTCTAGCAGAAGGAAGGCGCGTGCGCGGTTATCTCAGCTTTGTAAGTGGAGCGTCCCGGCTGGATCCTTGATAGAAGATTCTTCGTGTACACGATGAGCCGGTTGGAAGATAATCTGTATACAGAGCAAGGCCGGGAAGTACGTGGATCGATATCGCAACCATGAGCACCTTCTTTTTGCAACCTAGCGTGTGTCTCCGGCCGCTCCGTTTGCATGCGTGCTGTGCACAGCTAGTTCCCTTGAAATAGAGCTGGGAAGGTTTTCTCTGCTCACTTACTCCCGGCTTGCGTTGACTATCAGTGACAGTGGAGTATTAACGCTTTCATCTGCCATTCGTGTACCTGGTGACGATACCTGTGTAGTGGAGAGTGGTGCACACACCGATCCGTGACGCACTAGCCCTCGTGGCTAGTTATCCCTAGCTGTACTGATATACTTTTACTGTGTCATAGCCTCTCCGTTATAGCGATGAGCGGTGGCTTCTGCACGTGCGTATCCGTTAGTTTTGTGAGCGTGCTGGCCCAATTTGCCCACCCTCTGACACCCGGCTAGCTTCACTGGCTGCATCTCTGGACGTGCAATCCACTGCTGTTAGCGGATGACAGTCCGTCGGCCCAAGATCGGCAGGGAGGGACCGGTCGAGCTGACGAATTTTGGGTGGGAAGTTGTGATTGAGTTCGAGTTCGCCCTCCCTCTGCATGTATCAATTTCTCAAGTTGAGAATCTCAACTCTTTTTCTCCATTGTGAAGACTTTATACCACAACTCGCGTAACTCTCGCAGCCGAAAGATTATACTAACTTCAATTCACGCAAACAGGCATAATAGCGAACGAAAGTGTTTTTCCTCTGTTCATGGGCGACTACTATATTTCGGCCGAGCTCTCGCAGCACAAGTGCCCATTATGCTACGCGCATGGATCCCATGGGACTGACACGAGGCTAAGAGTTATTCTACACTCCATCGCTGCAAGAATATCATAGGTTGATGCAAGACTGTCTCAGAAGCAACGCTTTATTGGGTGTATAGGCTCGAGTGACTGCACAGATGATGGTTCGAACATCTGGCCTCCGTGACAGAGGTTGAGGAGACAAGACAGCACAGACCCGCTGAGCTAAGATTGGCTACACATTTATGGATTGTCTCCGTCCTTATCATCATACTGTTACCATCAGTTTGTTTTCTATCGTTTACTGATCATAATGGTGTGCCAACTTGGTATTAATGGTTTTGGTCGTATTGGCCGTCTTGTTTTCCGTGCTGCCATGGAGAACCCCGAGGTGAAGGTCGTCGCTGTTAATGATCCCTTCATGAACATCCCTTACATGGAGTATCTCCTCAAGTACGATTCGGTTCATGGTCAGTTCAACGGTACCATCGAAGTTGCTGAGAACGCCCTCATTGTCAACGGTCAGTCCATCCAGGTCTTCGCCGAAAGGAACCCCTGCGATATCCCGTGGGGTAAGGCTGGTGCCGATTACGTTTGCGAATCAACTGGTGTATTCACTACTGGAGAGAAGGCTTCTGCTCATCTCCAAGGTGGCGCTAAGAAGGTCCTCATCTCCGCTCCTCCCAAGGATGATACCCCAATGTTCGTCATGGGTGTTAACAACAAGGAGTACACTTCCGATCTTAAGGTTGTCTCAAACGCCTCATGCACTACTAACTGCTTGGCCCCTCTTGCTAAGATAATTAACGATAAGTTCGGCATCGTTGAGGGTCTCATGTCCACCATCCACTCCACCACTTCCACTCAATTGACCGTTGATGGTCCCTCTAAGGGCGGTAAGGACTGGAGAGGAGGTCGTTGCGCCGCTGCCAACGTCATCCCTTCGTCCACCGGTGCCGCTAAGGCTGTTGGTAAGGTCATTCCCTCCCTCAACGGTAAGTTGACCGGTATGTCCTTCCGTGTCCCCACTCCTGATGTGTCTGTTGTTGATCTCACCTGCCGTCTCGAGAAGGCCGCCACCTACGATGAGATCGTCGCTGCTGTCAAGGAGGCCACTGAGGGCGACATGAAGGGTGTCATGGGCATCACCTATGATGATGTTGTTTCCACTGATATGTGCAACGACAAGCATTCATCCATTTTCGATGTTAAGGCCGGTATCGCTCTCAACGACCACTTCGTGAAACTCGTCTCCTGGTACGATAACGAGTGGGGTTATTCCAACCGTCTTGTCGATCTCGCTGTTCACATGAGCAAGGTTGATGCTACTCAGTAGACTACTACTCATAAACAACACATTCATTTCTGCTGTTAGGAGGGATATAGTATCCCTCTAAGTTGTGGCTGATAGCCTTTCTTCCATCTTCTGCTGTGTCGTATTGTCAATGGATCGTTAATAGGTGCGACGCTGAACACTGAGGACAGCTCGTTACCTCGTCCTCACAGGTGTGCCTTGATCATCGGAGGCCCACCCGTCAACCTGCCATTATAACACACCTCGTTTGGTAACGATGGGATCGGGAATGTATTCGTAGCCTTCCTGCCTTATGAAGGAAAGCACTTAATACGCATCTCTATTGTGACAGACGAAACTCGTCCAACTCGCTCGTCCAGTCGAACTCACCACTTATTCAGGAGGGTCGTTGACTAGCAAAGGGACTTGTTTCACTAGAAGTCCGAGAACACTATCTCCAGCCACCCATTTAACATATTTCGGGATGGACGTATCGTATCATGTGCTGGGGGAAGGTGGGGCACAGCCCGTGTGACAGTCGAAGAAGAAGCTGTTTCGTAGCCCGGCCTAGCATCGTCATGCCGCAGCCTCAGTAAGAGGCCCTCCGTGATACTCAAAAGCAACACGGCTTGGTAGAACGGCAGCAACTAACATCATGCTCAACCTACCCCAAAGTGGACCGACCGATGAAGATGCGGCGGCGCTTTTTAGTCATAGGGAAAATATAACGATAAAAATCGAAGGGTGCACCGCCTAAGATAATACGACACCCGCAAGCGATGAAGTCCTCGGCGAGGCACAGTTGGTCTTACGCGCAACGAGCTCAAAATGAGCACTTTTATACAGCCTCACAGCGGGCTCATTTGTTGACTCTACTTCGAGCTAG